TGTACTCGGGCTGCCCCGCGAGGCCCTTACCGGACGGACAAGCGTGAGCCGAGTGCCGGGAAGGAGAGATTTGCACTTGCTGGTGCTGTCTGATGAGATGCCGCTAGTTTAAAATAAAAACCCAGAAAACAAAAAACAAGCAAACAAGGAGGATCACTCATTTGCTTACATGCTTTTGCGGTCAGTATGGTGACAAAATGAATGCAAAATAAATCGTGCTGGTCTTCACGTGACTGGCTACGGAGTGATGTACCGTGGGCCTCCTGACCTGCTCAGCGAGGTGTGAAACACTTGCTGAGCACAGTGTGAGATGTTACATAGTGATTCCTGTCATGGAAATACACCATGGGGTCAATATAAAAAAGAATACTGAACTCAAAGCATGGAAATGAGACACAGGAAAATACAATGATTTCATTATATTTGTTTAAATCACTTTGCTGTGCTTTTTGTTTTTATGTATTTTTAAAATTTTATTTTGCCACTATAATTATGAATTGTATCCCCTTTTTATGTCTAAGGAAATCGTGGGTTTTGTAAACAGACTTGTCATTGCTGTTACCTGCTTGCTAAGAGTGTAACCTGACAAAAATATGTTCGACCTTGTCCAGACCTGGTCGGAGCTTGTAGCCACTGCTGCCTGAGTGCTAGCCAACATGTTGGGGCTTGCTCGGACTTGCAGCCCAGCACAGTAGGCACGACACAGCCCACCAAGAAACTGCCTATAAAAGGGGCAGTGACCAGGGGTAGGACGGAAGTGTTGGTGGAGCGCAGACTCCCCACGTCCCCAACGCTGCTTGCCCGTCCCTTATCAATGAATTAATAAATTGCCTTATTGACTGACCTACCCGATTGTGGTGACTAATTTATAACAAGAGCACGCTAAGCAGACTAAACAACAGAGACAATGTGGCAGCCAATACATTTGTAAAAATTAACTTTTTTTAATCCTGGATTTTTTTTTTTTGCTTCGTTGTCTCTGAGTTGTTTGTTTGTTTATTTGTTTGTTTTTATTTGGTACTACTTAAATCAAGTTGAGATAATCCTTTTCATAGCTGAAACCATGGTTAATATCAGAATTTAGGGGTATTTATAGTTCATGCTTGGAAAAATTGCTGAATTGCAAGGAAGACAGCAGAGAGAGCTTCCCCATGTGACAATATTACAAAACAGGCTACACACAAATCACCCCCTATTCATCCTGTTCAAGTAAAGCCCAAAACAGAATGTGCAGCAAGCAGCAGGACTGCCGGACTGCTTTGCAAGAAAACTGCTGTGTAGTTCAATTTCAGACTGCTGACGGAAATGAGGCAGCAGAGACTTAACACTACTCATCATCCTGAAATCCAGCTGCACACAAGCTCCTTGGGACCAAAACTCTGCTTCTGTACCCAGGAAATTCACCATCATCTTTCACCTCTGAGTCACTCTTAGCAGCCAAGTATAAGTTGTGGGTTTTGGCCATTTGAACATTTTGGTTGATGAGTCAAGAAGTCTGTCCAGCTACTACAGAAATTTGAAATGCAATGCTAATGCCATGTGCTGGTGCTCTGGAAGTAAATTAAATTGAAACCCACAAAAGTAGATGTGTGTGAAGAACTTTTTTTTTTTCATCTTACAAGCTTCTAATCTCACTCTTGCAGGCCTGTCTTCTGCGTCCTATGCTGTGAAAGATTTGCATGAATTCCTACTATAGCAGGTAGATGCTCTGTATTTCATTGTATTTTTGGTCACCTGCTACAGTTCTTGAGTTATACAAGAACTATAAGACTAGCAGAAGTAGATTCCTCCTGCTCCCTCATGAACTTTGCTGGCACAGCTCACTCACAAAAGGCTGTTCAGTCTCTGTCCTGCAGTGTTTGTGTTCTAACTTTCTGTTCTGATGACACATTTCCTCCTGGGCAAAGGTGTCTCTTCCTACATGCTTGGACAGTGAAATATGGGAGCCTAAACTAATTTTGAAGCTCTTGGTAAACCTGTAAGACAAAGGGAGTATTAAATCCAGCTCTAAGAAATTACCATCTCATGCTATATTGAATCTTCCTTTTACTGACTCAAGGCATACTTTACTCTGTACTTGCAGCTATAATTGTAACATGCACAAATTCATAAAATTGAGTCATTATAGAAAATTATAGTGGATGAATTAATAATCTTCTCTATTGATGCAGCACATGGTAACAGCTAACAAACTTAGAGGAGTGTTCCATTTTGTTAGAGAAAACTCCAGGTTTTTTACTGAAAGATACTGATAATACATCAGGATAGCATTTAAGATATAGAAACTATGTTATGCTCAAAATATTGTTTGTTGGCAAAGAGAAAGTATATCTCCTATTTAACTAAGGCAATAATTCGTTGAAAGTGTCACCGAAATTCTGTGTGTCAGATCATTATTAGTCCAGCATTGTTATAAAAAAAAATAAATATGGGTTTTATGCATATACTGCTTCCTTCCCTTGTTCTTGGTGCTATGCTCACCCTTCTTCAGCTGCTCTGGATTGTGAGGTTGCTGGTTTCATTCTTGGGCAGTGGTCAGAGTAAAGGGCATTTCAGCAGGTTGTCAGCATTTGGAGCCCATCTCTGAGAGAAATATGATGTTTACATTGCTGGTTTCTTCTTCCTCACTTTAAAGTGTTGCACTCACACTTGCGGTAAATTCTTATAAGCTTTTGTGAAATGTTTTTATGTGTTTTTCTGGTTAGCTGCAACTCCATATTATATTTGAATGTACTACATAAAATGCTGTTGGATATGTTGGATAATACTTTGTTCTGGTTTTGCTCTAGGTGACTCTGCTTGCGTGGGGCTGGTTGGGTAAAATTATCTCGAGGGTAGTCTGCAAACTTCTTGTACAACTTGTATGCTGCCACCATGGTTTACATTGAATTGTTAGCAGCCTTAGGGAGGAAAAGAAATTAGCTCTCCAAAGAATCCTCTGAGTTGAAGAAATTAGTTACCATTACCATTGTGATTTCTTTGCCATTCACAACATTTCATAGTTTGGCTTCTCCTAGTGTAGTGGAAAGTAATCTAGAGACAGTAGAGAGTGTTCTACAAAGAGTAAAAGGAATTAAAGGAATAAGGAAAGAAAATAACCCTCTATCTACTAGTTAGAGACTGTGACTGTAGTTAAAATTATCTGAGATCACCCACCAAGGATTACAGATCTGCTACTATGACTGCATTCATAGTAGCTCCCCATGTCTACCATTGGAAGTATTAACTTACACTGTACAGAGTGCTAAACGTGAGGTTACACTGGCAAAGCTGAGGGAATGGTAACCTGTTCCTGGAAAGTAGGAGAAAATTTAAAGCTTTCAGTTTGGCTTAAATGTGTCAGAATAACACATCTGCTACTAAATTTCTCAGGAGAGCAGACACACTGCTCTTTTTCCTTATGGCCATCCAAAACAGAGCTCCAGTGCAATGCAAACAGAAGCCCTTTTGCCTTATGAAGCAGCTTACTCTGCTTCCTTGTTTAGGCAAAAAGTAAAATGGTCACCACAGTGGGTGAAATTTAACACATGAGCCCTCCCTCCTAGTTTCAGATGCCGCTTTGGGAACTTGAGAACAGCTTTACAAACTTCCCACAGAGATGTTCCCACTGCAGAGTCTTCATTCTTGGACATTAGGTGTCCGACTGAATACTTATTGAAAGCTAGTAACTCCCAGCACTCAGCACATCATAAACACACACACAAAATCTAGTGGTGCAGATTTAACATCACTGTGAGACAGAGAAGTTGTTTATGTCTCTTACCCACTTTACATTCTAACCTGAGTCTTGTCTTGATGCTCCTGAACAATGAACAGCTAAAGGATAAGGCTTAAGAGATGATGGCTAGTGAGAAAATAACAGAAGTATTAGTTCAAAATTTCCAAAATTTCCCAGCTGCTGCGGGAATTTGCCTTGATGCTCAAAGCCTCTGCTGGACATTCACTTCAGAAATACAGATCTGGTGTCACCTCTGCAACAGAAGGCATTAAAGTTCTTGAACAGACACATAATTTTTCAAATTGTTTTTCTGATGAGGGAAATCTGTTGAACATGGTGAAGAGGGTTCTAATGAGTTTTATCATGTTTATAAAACGACACAGGACATTCTTTAATGTTTTTATGAATAAGCATCGGTGTGTTACCTTGCAGCATGAAAAGAGGTACAGAGAAGAGACGCTGCACAGGTAGCTTGTAAACCCAAGATGGAATGCCAGGTTACTTGCTAATAATTTTAGACGATGGGAGTGCAATCCATGTTCTCCTCCACTCCCGCATCAGGTCCTGAGACAGGAATGCAGCCACCATTCTTATCTCTACCAAGTCTGATTTAACAAAAACAGCTGGAAAGGAGGTGTCATTCTTAAATTCGAGTTGTCTGTGGGGGGCTAATTCGGTTTCATTTTGTTTTTTAAACATGTAACTTGTTTAACGAGACTTTTTTTTTTTTTTTTTTTAACTTCCAGCGAAAGCAGATGTCTCGCTGGGTATTAGGCTAATGCTTGTGGAAGGTGTGCGCAGTGAAATGGTCCCGGCGCCAGCTGCGGCTCGGTGCCTCCACGCCCGCCACGCCTCGGCAGCGCCGTTCCCGCCGCAGCGACCACGCGTGAGGGACGGGGCGCGCCCATTGGCTGCCGGACGAGACACGTGACGTGGCGGCAGCGGCACGTGTAGACTTATTAAGGGCTGTCGGCGGCAGTCGCCATCTTCTTTCGGTGAGCAGGTTCGGTGACCGTAAGACGGAGGTAGGAGAGGGGCTGCCCTGTGGGAAGCGGGGTGCTTTTCCGCGGGAGGACTTCCATCTTCTTCATCCCCACCGGCGCAGCGCCCGGGCCGGGCGGGCTCAGGTCCCCCCCCCCCCGCCCCGCAGGCTTCAGCGTCGCGCTGTGTCGGCGAGCCTCAGTGTGGGGTGCCATTTTCTTTCGCGGTGCTCTCCGGAGCCTGGCGGGAGGCGGGTGCTGATGTGTTCTGTCTCCTGCAACCAGGTCTGGTAGGGCGCAGCATGATTGAAGAAGACTGGAATGCGGAGATAGGGGACGAGGCGTTATTCCCATCCCTTGCGAAGGTATGGGTGGGGAGGGGGGGCGGGGGCAGGCAGCTGCGGCGAGGGGTTATGTTTGCTTCTCTTCCTCCAACCCGTGTCCCTGCAACCTGAGTGACTGCTGGGCAGTGGTGTCCCCTGTTCCCGTTATTTTTTGAAATATGGTAGGCAGCCATGGGAGTTCACTGTTCCTGAAAAGAGCAGTTTTTCTCTGGACTAGCAATTTACTTGCTACTGTGTTGTTCAGATACTAACGATTGTTGTATGTGTAAGCGGGCTTGACGTGTCAGCTGTGTATAATGTGATTTTTGGTATCACAAGATGCACAAGATAGCTTCTTTCAAGCGCATGACTTTGTAGCTGTGTATGTCTTTATATATTTCTTTAGGCCTAAAATCATCATGATGTTATGTCTTTTTTCTTTCTGCAGGTTAGCTTGCTTGAGAAACCGAATGATCCCTCATCTGTCTTCAGTCGAAGTGTAGACTCATTTGGTATGTGAAAGGCACTTTTGACTTTACTGATGTTTGGAAGAATTGATCCCTTAAGCATTGTACAAGATTAAAGGAGAATACAATATTATTTTGATATTTTCATGGGACCTCCATGGAACAGCAGCATCAAATTATATAGAGAATGTAATGAGTAGGCTTTCCTTTTTCTTCCAAAGGAAGCTGTCCAATGCTTCCTTATTTACTGCTTCCTTATATTACTACTAATAAGGTAGTGTTGAATTTTAACTTAATTCTTTCTTTTTAATTACAGCTACTGATGAATTTGTGGGCACACAGCATCAGTCAGTGAGTAGTTTTGGTAGAGGAAGGAATTTTGCAGCCAAAGGTAACTTCCAGTAGCGATTGTTTTTCTAATGGCTAGCTGTATATGATACCTTAAATTTTCCATTCCCTTCCAATCAGGCGAGTTCATCTCCATGTAAGTAGAGCTCTGTTATGCATGACCATGGCTTGGGAAGTCAAACACCATCGCTCCAAATGCCGTTGTCTTCCTCTTCTCCCTGGATTTATATGCTGAGCTTGATGCCACATGGGATGGGATTAGTTTTCCTGGCTTTGTCCCATCTCATTTTGTGCTCCCTTGCCCCCCCTTCCTGGTGTAGTGGGGTAAGGAGCAGAAGAGGCCCCAGCTCAGTGTGAGTGCTGCTCAGCACTAACAAAAATATCCCTATTACCTGTACTGCTTCTAGCAAATCCAAAGTGCAGTCCTGTGCCAGCTGCCGTGAAGGAAATTGACTGTACCCAGTCAAACACAGCACAGTTTATTCTTTGAAAAAATTCCATACCATTTCTGCATCCTTTTTATTGAACCTCGTTATTGGTGGGTGAATGCTAGGCTTATTTGGTGCAGGGCATTGATGACAAGCAGTTTGGCTCTAGACTCTCCAGCAGCAATTATGAAGTGACTCACAAGCTGTATTTAAAGTCTGCTGTATTTATGGATACTTAGGATACTGTCATTTATACATGAATCCGTAAGATAAGATTTTTATATCTCTATCTGATGTGGAAAAAACAAGCTGTGCTGGTATACACATCAGGCTTTGGTGGAAAAGAAGCCATAGATGCTGTGCTAGGAAGACTTCATGGTACCAGATGATGATCTTTGTTGTTACAATATGATAGAACAGGTGTTTGGTTGAAGAATAAGGACTAAGGAGTGAATTATGATCTAAGCTGATTGTTTGGACCTTAGACAAGACCCGAAACTTAAGTCTAAAATGAGGACTGCCTTGTTTATGCATATGCATGTTTATTTTCTTACTCTTCCCATCAGGAGATTAAGGAAAGAGATTAGAAATAAAAATACACTACATACGTCTCACTGCCAACTGAATAAGTAATTCTGAGTAATAAAAAAAAAATAGAACTTGGTAGATTTGAAAGACATGTTTTCAAGTCCTCGCTACATAGCAGGCAGTAACTGGCTTTGCCACCTTATTCTATAGTACCAGTAGTTAAGAAATTTGTATAGGAGCAAATGCTCTCAGCCTCAAACCAGAAATCTGAATTGATGTGTGTCCTTACTGAAGAGTTGAAGTTAGTGGCTTGATTAGCATGTACACAAGTAAAGTCAAATACTTAAAGACCCAATGTTAATTTTATTTCATGAAATTGTACAGGAGAGTACTGTTTTCTGTCAGACTTCTTGGCAAAAAGTACTTCCTGTCTTAATTCTTTTCATGTGTTTAGGCAAATCACTCAGTTATATGCTGAACTTCTTGTGGAGTCACTAAACAAGCACTGAGAAGAATAATTATCAGATACAAGGGGCTTGACCTGCACTTCAAAATTAAGCAAACTTCAGTGATTGTGTGCTATGCTGTACTGCAGGTTTTCAAGAGGAAAATGGAGAAGATGCCATT